ATAAAGGAACACGATCACTTTCCAGATGGCCCTCCCCAGGTCGGCGACGGTCCGCCAGAGCAGGAAGACGCCCCGGCAAGAGGTGAACCTGGCGTGGGAGCCGATGTCCACGATCGCCTCGGAAGCCAAGGCAGCGTACTCTTTACAATGAACTTCTCCAGGTTGATCTCTACAAACCAGGTTGCGGCACAGGTGAATGGAACGGCCCTCGAGCGACTCCAGTTTCTGACGGAGTGCGCGTGAGCTGGCCCCCTTCACGCCCAGGTAGTCTATCCAGAGGCCCTTCCGGTCGATCCGCTTGGGCTCCGAAAGGTCGATCTTCAGCCGGGCCACGTGGTCGTCGATCTTGATCAGCACATCGTTTGGCCGCCTCCCAGTCCCACGACCCTTCACCTTCTTGCTGTAGTACTCCGTGGTCGTGGCTGGCCCGGTCTCTGGCCCCATCCAATTGATCTGGGTAAGGGCAGGCGGAGCCGGCGGCAGGTACCTTTCGGCAGCTGTATCGCCAGGCTCTCGCCGGCGGCACTTGGTGCACCGCACCAGTAGACCGATCAGCCAGAGGGCGGCTGCGCATGGGGCCAGTAGGGTACGACAGATGTGAGTGAGGAAAGCCAGCATTGCCAGGAAAGCCAAGAGGATGAACGTCCATGCCACGGCAGGCCAAGCGGCCCCGAAGACCGTCAGGCCCAGCTTCTCGAGAGCATAGAAGAACCACCCACCATCCTTGGTCAGCCAGCCTGTCTCGGCACGGGTGGAGAAGGCGCTCCCAAGGCTGTCGAGCTTCTCGTAGGCGACTCCGCCCATGCCACTCAGGCGCCAAGCCCAGGTGCCCGCACGTAGTGGCTTCAATCCCAGCGCCCAGACACCCCAGCCGCCCACCCAAGACTCCTCGCTGCCCGGGTCCTTGGTGGGGTCGCTGCCGTTGTCGACTCCTCCGGCGGCCTGGGCTGGGGGCGGGGGCGGCGCTCCCGGCGGCCCACTGTCGGGCGGCGCCTGGGGGCTGCCTGCATCCCCACCCTCCTCCTCGGGCTCGCCGATCTCCATGCCGTACTCGGAGTCGTCGTAGTACGGCACGGTGTACCCGAGCGGGGCCTCCTGGGCCGCAGCCGGGTGGCCCCAACTGGCGCGGGCGACAGCGGAGCTGAGGGGCCCGCGCCAGTCGTAGGCGGCTGCGCCGGTGACCAGCGCAGCCAGCCCGCGGGCCGCACCTGCCAGCGCCGGGCGCCGGGCAGCCATGGCACGCACGCTTCCGGGCGCCGCGGGCGCCCAGACCTCCTGAGGTCGGCTCCAAGGCTTTGAGCCCCGAAGGCTTGAGCGGGAGAGAGGAAAAGGGAAGGGCAAGCAGAGGCAGGAGCAGGGAGAGGAGAACCCAAGCCGACTGGGGAGGGCGGGGTCCAACCGTTTAGGACAAACAACTAATTTGGCATTCCACTCAACTTGGACTGAATTTCGGCGCGGTCTGTCGCCCGAGGGCAAATATTATCCACTCTACACTGTATGTGCCGAAAATAGGTGCACACATGGAAATCTTTTTAATGCAAGAAAAACATTGCCCTGCGGATATCGCGGATATGGCGCCTACTGCATGGAAATGTGATGCACCACTACCAAAACGAATAATCAACGTTTTTAGCACACTGTTGGGAACGCCGGAACATGTGCAAACTTACGGGACGCAACTTGCTGAACAGAGGGCGAAGCTGTTACAACTTCTACCTCAGTTCCCTTCCTCACTATCAGCATGCTTCCTCCTGTACTATTGCGCTGTGCAATGCCTGAACCACCTCCTCTGGGCACCATAGCCAGATACAAGACGCACGCTCGCTATAGGTCACGATGCATCAATACTAGCTTCGTTTCGTGGACTGTTCAGAATCCCGACTGTCCACGACTGGACTACACAATTACATGGCGTGGACTATGACACATGAAACCTCCAGGCACAACTACCACTCAGATTGGGAGGGATGCGCCTCACAAATTCCGAGCGGACGGCGGATGCCGCATGTTGGGCAAGCTAGGCCGATATACTCCCAAGATTGGTGCGGAAATTCCCAGCCATCGGCCGCAATCTGTTCACACTTTGACGGCTGCGTAACTGGGAATGCAAGATGGCCTTTGTGTTTGGTTGCCTCTGCAAACCTTTTGGATACGAATGGGTGGACCGACCGACCTATGTGGTATGATCTAGCACCTGAAGCACGACCACCTGAACCGCCAGAAGAAACCAATCAAGGAGACTGGAGACACGATCAACACTTTGGGCATCTGATAAACTGAAAGGAATATACACGCAAACTCATTCCAAATGTTGACCCTCCCGACTCTACGTCGTCACGCTACCTCCGTAAATCAATCACGGATCCATTGTTGTATGGGTCCGTTTGCTGCAATATGGTCACTTGTTTGCCCCACATCAGACATGCCTACAGAGACACGTGAAACAAATGTGTGGTGTACCAAATAGGCTTGGCATTGCAATTACGTGTGACGGCATGGATGCATATGGGCACGCGCTGATTTCCTTCAACTCTGGTGTCACGCACGCACGCGAAACATACACGACTTATTGCAACATGGAAATATATCATTGTGGGAACGGGGGCTATTATACCAAACCGCAACGTTGAACGCTGTACTCAGCCGGATTCATATTCTGGGACCACCTAGCGATTTACGCCGTATCGATTTGGTGGCAGCTTGTTTGAATGTAGCGGGCGGGCTAGCTCTTTTCTGTGATGTAGCAGTGATATCGTCTACATCAGGGAACGGAGCTCCACGCCCAAGCACGAGCAACACAGGAGGACGCTTGTTCAAATTAGCCGAAGCAGCAAACAGTACCACCTACAGGGAGGTTATTACAAATGGGCTGGAATCTCTCCAATGCTTGGGTGCTGAAGTGTACGGTAGGTGGGGGTGGGAAACAATTGACTTGGTTCCAGCACCAGCACTGGCCAAAGGGCGTACCAACAATGAGCACCCACGCATTCGGAAAGGCCACGCGCTGGGACTACAATATCGATGGTGGGGACTGCTGACAATATCATTGCAACGTGCCGTGGCCCACACTGTTCTGAGTGGGTTCGCCGATTTTCCCCAAACGCAGCAAGAGCAACCCTGCCCACTGGCAGATTTCGAAAGTGTCTGATCTTTCATCTTCCTCCTCCTCCTTCCTCTCTTTGCCCTGCGCTGTTTGCAAGAAAGAACCAACAATTAAACATAACACCTTCGGAAATCAAAGAAATCCAGAAACGTCAGAATCGAAGAAACCGGTGCAAACAAAAAAAACACGCAAACCGAAGACACCTAAGAACACCTACACCGAGAAACATCCAAACCGATGAAAACCAAAACAATCCGAATACTGGAAACATAATAAAACTAACACATACATGCCGAGAAGAACCGTGACATACCAATATCACGGAAAACTAAACCGAACACTCCCTGAAACACCGAATAGAAAACACAATTGGGAACCAAACACATCAACATAAAAAGCGAGCCATGTTTTTGGAACGCATGAACTCTGCTTCTGGAGCGAGCGACTCCTGTTTCCAGAACGGGCGACACCGATTTCTGGAACGGGCGAAGCCTGTTTGCGGAACGCTGAAATTGTTTTCGGAACGTTGTAACTGTTTTCGGAATGCTGGAACTGTTTCTAGAATGCTGAAGCTGTTTCTGGAACGGCTGCTGCAAGGAGTAGAGGGGAGGAGAACATAGAACAGAGGGGAAGACCGATGCTATCACATCAACGTGGAAATCACATTACCGTACTCAACACCTTTCAAATTCCGCCAGTCGGTTTCGGATGCGGACTGGAATTTTGCCCGAAACGAGAAGGGTATCGGCAAATTTTGCCCGAAACAATAAAAGGTTTCTGTAAACACTGCTTCTGGATATCGCATTCGATGCTGGTGGATACCGACACCAATGGCGGTTGATACAATAGCCAATGTCAGTAGATACGGAATCCAATGTTGACGGATACCGAAACCGACGTTAATGGATACTGAACACCTGCTGATAGATACGGTACCCGTCACGTTGGATACCGAAACCATTGTTCGGATTCCGAATATGGTGCTGCCGCTTTTTCCAACTCTTGTCAAGTGACGGAGAAAATGCGGCATCACATTCTCGACAATCATTTGCTCAACCGAGACATATCATAATTTATACAATGCTTGATGTTTTTCTTCGCAGCTGGGTAACACCATCGATTCTTGCAAAACCATCTGCATCGCCCAATCCATGTCTTCATCACATTCAACTCTTATTCTTATTCCCCGTGTGCTTTCACGTGCGTTTCCCGCTTGCACCATAATGCTCGGAAAAGAGGAAACATTGGGAATGTTGGGGAGAAACAATAATTGTCCGTGTAACTTTGTGTAGCACTGAACGAAGCATGCTGTTGTTTTCAGCATAAATAAGACCTCCGACCAATACAACAGCTGTTCGCACTTGCGGGTCGCATTTGGTGACGCCACCTCTTTCGCCTCCTCGTCTTCTTCGCTTCTCAGTTGCCGATACCGTGACGCACACAGCTGGGGCGCGGTTATCTGAGGATACGGCGGTGGAGGCTTTGAGGATGGGGAGGAGAAGAGGACTTGATCTGATCTTAAGTGTCGAAGCTCGGGGCCGCGGCCCTGGCGGTCAGTGCGTGTTGTCTGCTGTGAATGGGCCGCGTGCCCTTCACCATGCGGAGGAGGGGTGGGGGGACAGAGGATAGTTTGCGGTAGCGGAGGCGGAATTACCATAAACCGAACCCTCGGTGAGGGCAACGACCACGGACATGTTTGCATAGACCCATGTCTTCCTGTGAGCCGCCAGTGCATCTTTGCATTGGCCTGAACGCCCCCGACCTCTTGTGCTTCCTAGCTTGTGATTCCGTGACGCACACTGCTGACGCGCCATTTGTCTGATCATGTGAGGTGGAGGAGAGGTGCCATCTACCCAGTGGGCCAGACTCTCGGGCGCGAGATCTCGCACGCACGGCGCTTTTCTCCAACAATGCGACGTGCTCATCGGTAGACGCTGCGGCTGTGCGGCCGGCGCGCGCGCCGTGCCTCACGCGGCGAGCACTGCCTGGCGGCGGGCACCGCGCACCCGGCGGGCCTGCAGGAATGCTGGCGCAGTCTCGTCGCTCAAGATCGCCAAAGCTTCCTTGAGGCCCTTGACCTCACGCTGGCGGCGCGCCGCTCGCACCTCATAGGTCTCCGGTTTTGCGATGCAGCGCTCCTTCACCTTGCCATAATACTCGAGGACGGAGTCGAGCTCCGTGTTGGTGGAAGCACGGTCGGAGGACAGCTCATTCACATCCTTATCCAAACCCTTGAACTCCTGGACTTTGTATGTCACGCTCTGGCTCTTCATGGCGGTGGACACCTTGATCTCCTGCGTCCTCTTCTCGTAGGCCGCGGCCGCGTCGCTCTCGGTTTCCTCCTCGTCGGCCAAATTCTTGGCGAAATCGGACTCCAAAACTTCTAGGATCCGCCACCGTGCCCTCTGTCGCGTGGGGGCTTGTGAGAATGCTGTTCTGCTGTCTGGCAGTGTTTTCCACCCATGTCTTCGCGGACCGACCCTGTCCCGAGCCTGCGCGCGTCCTCCGCCCCCCACTTCTGGAACCGGCTTTGGGCAGTCTGCAAAGTCAACTTCAGCAGAATAGAACACAGAGGACCGAAAAGAGCCCCCCCCCAAAATGGGGGTCTAAACGATCAGAACCGACAACAGCAGCCAGACGACATGCGAGCGACTGTCTTGCGGGAGATGCCATCGCGACCTTACGCGGTGTCTCGCGTGGGCCGCCGGCGCAGAACACGGCGTGACGCGGAGAGGGACGACGCGCGGCCTTGCGTGGGCAGCTCGGGCGCCGGTGTTGGCGAGAACGATCCGTTTCCTGCGTCGAGCACGTGGGGAATAACACAAGGGCAGCCCAACCGCAAACTACTCCAAATCCCTTTCCAGTCGTCCCCCGGGTCCAATTTTTAGGGCACTTTCTTTGTAACTGGGGGGGTCTGGTTGATTAGGGCGCTTTCTTGGGATTGGAACTTAGGGGGTCCGATTTATGAAGGCTCCCCGTCGAAGAGGGGGGTCCGGAATATCAGGTCGCATTTGGAGGGGGATCTGGCTTTTTAGGGGTGGGTCGATTAATAAGGGATTTGGAATAGCTTGATGCAAGTTATTGGCGCGGTGTCCGTGCTGGCACCAAGGCGAAGCGGCAATGGCGCAGGCAGGAGACGCTACTGAGCCCCTGGCGACACCGCGACGGTTCCACGGTACCATGACATACTCTAAATTCCTTATTACTCGACCCCCTAAAAAACTGGACACCCCTCCACATGCGACCTGATATTCTGGACCCCCCTCTTCGACGGGGCGCTTGAATAAACTGGACCCCTAAGCTCCAATCCAAAGAAAGCGCCCTAATAAACCGGACCCCACCAGTTACAAAAAAGCCGTCTTAACAAACCAGACCCGCGGGACGACTAATAAAATATTTGGAATACACAAGGCGGGTGAAGGAAGGGTGGGACCGAGAAGCGCGCTGGCGAGCACGCACGGCGCACCTGAGTACTCTTTCCGTGCAACAGCGCACGGCGTGAGGGAGAATCCTCTGCCCCTCACGCGAGCCATCCCGCACCACGGACCAAGAACACAACGCAACAAGCTGATGCAGAAACATCGCCGAGACCATGCGCCTCCGCCCGCCGCCCTCCGCCCCGCGGCCGGCCCCGGTCCCTGGCCGGCGCCCCCATTTGGGCCCCACGGCTGCTGCCCTCCCTGCGCCCCTCTCTCGTTCGGCCGCCCCTGCCTCGGACTGCCCCTCCTCGGCTCCTCCTCCTCCTCCTCCTCCTCCTCCTCCTCGCAATCGGCTGTCCTTCGAATGTGGCCCAGACGCCGCCGATCGAAGTCCACCGCGCCCGCACCTGCTTCGTCCGTTCCACACGCCCGCCCGCGGCGCTCGCGCGCGCGGCGCCCAGCGCTCCGTGGGCGCGCCCCGCGGCCAGGCACCTACGGCAGGTTCGTGTCGTGTCGACCCCAGCGTTGGTTTTTGACACCGCAGGGATCGTTCAACCTTGAACGATCGGCCGCTGCCGCAACGTCCGATCGTTCAACATCGATCGATTCTGGGTCGCCGGCGGCGTTCAACCTTGAACGCCCGCGCTGGGGTCGCCGCTGGTCGACACGACGCAAACCTACCGTACGGTATCTCGCGACTGTTCACAACCTTCGCCTGATGAGCCCGCAGAAAACACCCAAGACAGCCAGCACATCCAACAGCCGTGCCAAGACAGCCACTCTTGCCCCGAGATGGCCACAAGGCCTCCAAGGTGGTCCCAAGACTGCCCATGAAGGCCTCCGGACAGCCGAGAAAGGCCCCAAGCAGCCTCAAGGCGGCCCCACAAGCTCCAAAACAGTCCAAGACGGCTCCAAAAGGACGCCCAGGAGCAAACAACACTGCGTTTTCCTTTCAGTGGTTTGTGGACAGATTTGAAAGTAGTTGCCTTTCTGGCTGTCGAAACCCTAGACGGCCTCAAAGGTCCCCCAAGAGGGCTCTTCCAAGGTCCCAGGAGATCCCAAATACGGCCCAAAGGGGGCTCCCAAACGGCCCTCAATACGTGCAAACGGGGCCCCAAGACGGCCCAAGATGTCCTTAAGACTGTCCCTGAGAACGGGACATCGAGCTTACCTGGATAGCCTTTTCACACAGGATTGCCTTCAAGACCCCCAACATGCCCCTAAGAGGCCCTTGAGTGGCTCCCAGAAGCCCCCAATGCGCCCGAGAGGCCCAAGAGAACCCGAAGAGGCCTCACAGAGGTGCCCTTGCAGACCACCAAAGGTCTCCCCCAAAGACCTCCAAAGGCTCCCGAGAGGACCTCAAGATGCCCTAGAGACGCTCCGATACGCGTTGCTAACTCAACCTTCTTCGCGCTGCGCTGCTTCCCTGGTGCGGTGGCGGGGTTTGTCGCAAACAACCGGATATCGATGATGCTGCCCCCCGCGCCGGATGCCTTAGATTATGCTGCCTCCCATCGTACTTACAGACCACATCCCAGAAATAATTTCGAGCACCCGGAGAAGTGACAAAAGAGTGTCGAAACAGTATCAAGCGAGGGTCTCCCAGGGCCCGACACGTGAAAACCCTTGAGTTTCGGTACTTTTTGGTGCTCGAAATTCTTTCTGGTGATTAAGGCTAAAGTAGGTTGGAGCAACATAAGCCTTAGAGTGGAACACGGGCTTGGCTGGCTGGGCATCGCTTGCCTGCAGCATTGCTGCGCCATCGCCCTGGTAGTACTTGCGGAGGACTTGTAAGGCCTTGCGCACGCCCATCAGCCCCAACTCGAGGTCCGCCTTCGCCTTCGCGTATGCCGCGCTCTCGTCGGAGCGGGTCTGGGTAAGCTCGGCCTGCTCCTTGGCGAGCGCGGCGAGCTCACCCTGCAGAACCTTCACCTCCTCCTTCAGCTGGGCGGAGCTGGCGCTCTTGCTGTCGATCTTGGAGGTCAGCTTAGCGACGTCGTCCTCGAGCTCGGACTTCTTTGCCTCTGTCTTGGCGATCTGCTCGTCGCAGTACGCCTTCTCCGTGGCAGCGGCCGAAGCTTCGGCTTCCAACTTCTTTATCATGTCCTTGATCAGCGACTTGACCTTTCGGCTACACGAAATAATAATCTTAGGCAAGAATAACCTTTGGTGCGCGGCTTCAGGAATGCCCGTGGGGCCCAACTGCAAACACGTAAGCCGCTGCTGTCGCTGACAGAACAAACAATTGCGAAAACCTAAACTTTCGGAACTCCGCCAGGATTCCTTGCATCAGCGCTGGAACCCTCTCCCTGGCGCGCCTCTGGCGCCAGGGGCGGCGCCTCTGGGGGCCCAACACCGATCTAAGAAACCCGCACGGAACTCCGAAAACGTATGTTTTTTTGGTTTCCTTCGAGTCGCATCGCACCAGCGATCGGTGGGACGCGCCTCGAAAGATCCCTAGCGCCAACGGGGGGGGGCCACCGCGGTGAGGTCTGGCACTGCCGGGCCGCACCGCGAGAACGTCCGACAAAGCTGGCGTTGCGGCCGCTTCTGGGGCCCCCCACAAGCACTCCTCAAGAAACAATCAAACATAATACAATTGAGCGACGATAAGAAACGGGTCTGACGCAAGAAGACTCAGGAACCTAACTCGCCATCGCTCGGACGTCCATTTCCCGTGCATTATTCGGTTTCGTGCGTGTTTTTTTCGCTCGATGGTCCAGGATGGTCCTCAGGGGTCCTCGCCGAGAAAAAAATATGCACACGTCCGAGCGATGCCAGGCCTGACGCCGCGGCTTACGTGGGTCGCCAGCGTGGCACGCCACAGGTGGAACCGAGGGCGGCTACGCGCGAACTCACGCGCGAAGCGTACGCACGAATGTCGGCGCAGTCGACCCTGAGCTTTTCCATCGCTACACTGAAGGGAACGGATGCGGCAGCTCTCACGGTTCTTTCGTTCCGTCTGGTTCTCAGGGAGATTACCTGCGGCAGCCGATTCGGGGCTGGAAGGCATGCTGCCCGATCGACCGCCCTCCGCTCGGGAAACCTGCGCGCGCTGCATGCGCTGCGGTCGTTTGCGAAGGGGGCCCCCAACCCAGGTGGTGCGCTCAGATGCGCACGCAACCCTACGCTGCGAACGCCGACGCGATGCCGAGCGCACCCCACCCCTCCCAAACAAAAAAGACCCTGTAGACCAGCACCGAAGGTCACCCCAGCGAAACATCACTCGTATGCGCAGCCGGACCTTCACGAAGGGATCCTCGCCAGCGGAGGCGCCGTACTGCAGGAGCGCGGAGATGCGGGAGCCGAGCTGCGAGAGCGCCTCGGAGTGCTCCTTCTTTGCCAGCCTGCGCACGAACTGCACCACCTCCGTACCCTTCAGGTCCGACCGCGTGCGCAGCTGCGAGGCGGCGCGGGACTCCTGCAGGAACGAGTACGTCTGATCCACGGCGCCCGAGCTCGTCTCCGTCAGCACCTTCTTGGCCTCGGCCAGCGTCTTAAGTTCCGTTGTGCGGCTCGCAACCGAGGCGTCGTGGTCGGACGCCAACTGCATGCAGCCCGCCTGCACGTTCGACAACGACGCTTGCGTGTCAGCGAGCAGCGCGGCAGTCGTCTTCAACTCGCTGGAGGCGGTAGCTTTCCCCTCTTCAGTCTCTGACTTGAAAGCCTTCTCCTCGTTCATCTCCTTCGTGTCGTACGCGGCCTGGTCCTCGAGGCTCTGCTTGAGGAGCGCGTAGTTCTGCTTGGCGTTGGACTCCGCCTTGCGAAGGTCGGCGAGCTGCTCCTCCGCCTTGGCCTTCAGATTCTCCAGCACGTCCAGTATGCCCGTGCTGTGCGACTTGTAGGCCGCGGGGTCGGGGGCCCCGGCGTCCTCGACGTCGTCCGCGGCCCGCTGCTGGCCCTGCACGAAGGCCACGAGGGTCTCCCTGTCCGCCGAGCCGAGGCCGCTCGCGTCCACCACGGCGGAGAGGCCGGCGACGAGGCCCTGGACGCTGGAGGTGTCCATCTGCGCGAAGGCGGCGGGATTCTTGGCCATCTCCTTCTCGATGACCCCGATGGCGCGGGACAGCGCGCTGAGAGCCTCCATCAGCTGCGCCTCCGCCGAAGAGAAGTCGGAGGCCTCCCTCTCGCGGACCAGAGCGGAATCCTTCAGCTCGCTCTCGGCCTGCGCCACCTTGCCGGCCAGGTCTCCGATCTTGCCCTCGGAGGCCTCGATGTCGGCGGCGGCCTTCTCAATGGCCGCCTCCAGGGCCGCCTTCTCGGTGTCGGCGGTCCTGATGTCGTACTGCTGCGTCTTGGTGGTGTCGTCGCACCATTCCACGTACTCGGTGAACGCCTTGTCCTCGGCCTCGCCGTCTGCCGTCACCTTGGCGGGGGTGGGCATAGCTCGGCTACACGCCGGAGTGACTCTGGCAAGAGTGACCTGTGTTGCGCGGCCCAAGGGGGAGCCCTTTGGGAATACCATTAGGCGCGCAAGTCGCTGCTATCGCATTGAGTTCAAGGATCGGAGGGCCCCATTAGGAACGCACCAAAAGTCACTCTGGCGAAATGTCACTCTTACACCGGGTGGCGGCAACTCGACGCCACCCAACGCCACTCGATATTTCAGAACTTTGCCCAAGATGTGGTAATTCTACGCCGCTCGACGCCAGTGCATTTGACTCGAGCTCGCTCGGCTGGGATGCGAATCAAAGAAATTTGAACTGCTATGGTTTTCCTGGATTCCGAGGATGTCTCAAGCGAAACGGGCCTGAACACTTCGCGAACAGCATCTAGAAACCCTGCGTTGTGAGGATGTCTCAGGCGAAACGGGTCAACGCACCTCAAGTCGGGGCATCTGAGAGCAGGGAGTTCGAAGGATGTCACAGTCGCGAGCACCTCGCGAAACGCATCTTGGAACCCAGAGGTGTGAGGACGAGTCAAGAGAAATACTTCAGAACATCTCACGTCAAGGCATCTCGGAGCTTGAACGTAACCAGACCCCCACCAACACACGGCTGGCATGCGCCAGAGGCGGCTTTGGATACCATTCGCTTGATTCCCCCGACAGCTGTGCTGACTGGGGTTCTGTTCGGATGTGCCGCGCTGTGCTGCTAGCTATGGGCGACGATAGCTTCGCCCACACTGCTACCTTCAGAACAGACTTTCGCATGAGACATCCTCATGACTCTGAGCTCAGAGTTGTTCCGATGTGAGGTGGTCTGGCCAATTTTGCCTGAGACGTCCTCCCAACTCTGGGCCATGACATAAGGTGGCTTGGCCCGTTTCGCATGAGACATCCTTGCAACTCTGGCCTCAGAGATGCCTGACCTGAGGTGGTCTGGCAAATTTGGCCTCAGACGTCCTCCCAACTTTGGGCTCCGAGATGCGGTGACATGAGTGGTCCAGTCCCTTTCACTGGAGGCATTCTTGCAACTCTGAGCTCAGAGTTGCTCTGACCTGGGGTGGTCCAGCCAATTTTGCCTGAGACATCCTCGCAACGCTGAGCCCAACGATGCTGCTCGCGAGGTCGTCTGGCCAATTTCGCCGGGAACATCCTCGAAACTCAGGGCTTCGAGATGCCGCGCGCAGGGTGGTCTAGCCCGTTTCGCCAGAGTCATCTTCGCAACTCTGCGCTCAAAGATGCCCTGATCTGTGGTCCGGCCCGTCTCGCTTGAGACATTCTTGCAACTCTGGGCTGAGAGATGCCGTGAGATGCCGTGACCTGAGGTGGTCCGGCCGGTTTCGCCTGGGGCATCCTCGCTGGGGCTCCGAGATGACCGGACCTGAGGTGGCCCAGCGAATTTTGCCTGAGACATCCTCGCCACTCGGAGCTCACGGATGCCGCGCGAGAGGTTGTCCAACCGATTGCGCCTCAGACATCCTCGCAACACTGGGGCTCGAAAGTGCTACACGCGAGGTGGTCCGGCCACGTTCGCCGGAGACATCCTCGCACCTCCTGTGACATCTTCGCAACTCTGGGCTTGGAGACCTGAAGAAGTCCAGCCTGTTCTGCCTGCGGCCTTCCTCGCAACTCTGAGCTTCGAGGTGCCGCGTGTGAGGTGGTCTGGCCAACTGTGCCGGGGACATCCTCCAAACTCTGGGCTCCGAAATGCCGTTTCGCCTGGCACGTCCTCGCAACTCTTGGGTCCCAGCTGCCGCGCTGGAGGTGCTTCTTCGTCGCCATCGTCGTCGTCGTCGTCGTCGTCGTCGCGTCGTTGACATCGTAGCCGTCGCCGTCGTCTCCGTCGTCGTCGTCGTCGTCGTCGTCGTCGTCGTCGTCGTCGTCGTCATCACCGCTGTCCTCGTCGTCGCCGCCGCCGAAACAGACGTCGTCGCGGCCGCTGCAGCCGCCGTTGCCGAGGCCGCTGCAGTCCTCGCCGTCGTCGTCGCTACCGACGCCGCTCTCGTCGCCGTCGTCGTCGCCATTGTCCTCGGCATGGTCGTCGTCGTTGTCTTCATCGCTGGCGCCGCCAACGCCGCTGGTGTTATCGTTGTCGTCGTCGTCGTTGACATCGTCGCCGCACGCGCCGCTGTCATCTTGATCGTCGTTGCCGCCGACGCCGCCGCCGCTTCCGATGATGGCGTCGTCGTCGTCGTCGTCGTCGTCGTCGTCGTCGTCGTCGTCCTCGTCGTCGTCGTCGTCGTCGTCGTCGTCGTCGTCGTCGTCGTCGTCGTCGTCGTCGTGTGGTCCTTCTCCCCGTCCTTTACCTCGTCCCCGTCCTCCCCGCTACCTTCTGATTATCTTCCCCCTGCCCTTCTCTCCCGTCGCCGGGTTCCACATTGGATTGACATAGGGTCTACATAGGGAATCGACGTCGCCCCCGTCGCCGCCGCAACGGTGATCGTCGTCGCTGTCATCGTCGCCATCACCATCGTGGTCGCCGCCGCCGCCGCTTCCGTCGTCGCCGTCATTGTGGTCGCCCCTGCCCCCGTCGTCCCCGTCACCGTCGCCGTCCTCGTTGTCGTGTCGTCATTGTACTCGTCGCTGTCGCCGCGGTCGTCGTACCGTAGTCGGCATCGCCTTCACCGTCGCCGCTGCCACGGTGCTCTTCGTCATCGCCGCCGTCGTCAACGCCGCCGCCGCCGCCAAGGACTCTACCAAGGGATTCTACAATGGCGCAACGACGAAATCAGGGAATGACGACATCGTCATCAGTGTCGTCGTCGTCGTCGTCGTCGTCGTCATCGTCATCGTCAGTGACAACCTACGAGACCACCCCAACCCAGCCCGAAGGCCCGAATTTGGAATTGGAGGGCAAATGGAGGGCAAATTGGGGCCTTCGGGTTGGGTTGGGGTGGCTTGGTGGGTGGTGAGGATGGGCGGCGAAATAGCGTGCACCACCGCATGCAGTTGCAGTGGCTCGACGATGGCAAGAGAGTGGCACCCCCGCCCTGCGCCACCACCTTCCCGACGCTTCAGCCTGGCACACGCTGACCTGGATTAGGGATCCGTGGATCTGGCGCGTGAGCGTCAGATCCGCCGATAAGGGAACGCTACTCCCGAAACGTGAAGCCGAAGGCGCCCGATTTGGCGACGATGCACGCCTGCGTGGTGCGGAGACGGGCCCCGTTCGTCTTGGGTCGGTCTTGGGCCATCTTCGCCCGGCATCGAATGTCCTGGAGTGGACCCTGGGGGGCAGGGAGAAATACGACGAACAGGAGGCGAAAGAACACGAGGAAACAAGTTCTTCCGCTCCCCCGCACCATGCTCCTTCCTACCATGCTCCTTCGCCTTTCCGCCTCGCCCCCACACCTTTCACCATACCTCCTCGGCATCCTGATCCGTACTCCTCGTCCTCCTGCTCCTGCCGTTGGGCCGTCCTGGGCTCCCGAGGGTCCCTCATGGAAAACGCAGGGGCCTTCCTGGGCCGTCTGGAGCCGCTATGGAGCCCTTCTTGGTGCCCTCTTGAAGCCCCGTCGGGCCGCGGTGGGGCGATATCTAAAGTCTCTTTCGAGCCATATTGGGCGCCTTGGCATGGCGGCCGAAACGACGATACGGAAATCATCGAACATCGGTCACGCACCGAAGAGAAACCCTGCGGCGTCTGGCTTTCGGACGCTTCTCGACGACAGCCTGCGGGCCTCCAAGTCCGGTCCTGGGAGCCTCCTGGGCTGTCTTGGTGGCACTCCTGCTGTCCCTGGATGCGCTGGGCTCAGCTGGAGGTCCACTCGGGCCGCCCCAGCGCTGTTCTGGGAGCCACCAGGCCCCCACATGGCCCCCCAGACCCCCGAGGCTGAAGCGGGCCCTGTGGCGCTCATCGGGGCCTCGAGGGAAGCCTCTGGAGCCTATTGGTAGCATGTTGGGGACCTCTGTAACGCGCATTGATGTCTCGAAGGCGACCTCGGAGGGGAGGAGGGAGAAGGGAGGAATAAGAGATGGGAGGGCCGAGGGGAGGACGAGAGGGAGGAGAAGGAGGACAAGGATGAGCAGGTGGAAAAGGGACAGCTGCGAGGGGAGGGGAGTGAAGGGTCACGAGGGAGAGGAGGAGTAGGAAGAGGAGGAGGAGGAGGAGGAGGAGGAGGAGGAGGAGGAGGAGGAAGAGGAGGAGGAAGAGGAGGACGAGGAGGAGGAGGATACGGAATATTAATAGCAAGATATAGGAGGAGGAGAAGGAGGAGGAGCAGGAGGAGGAGGATGAGAAGAAGGAAGAGGAGGAAGAGGAATAGCAAGACATAGAAAGAGGAGGAGGATGAGGAGGAGGAGAAAGAACAAGAGGAGGATGATGGCGTGGGTGACAAAGGGTAAGGAGAGGAAAGGGAGATAACACGGATGCTGCGGAGCAGGATGGGGGAGAAATGAGGGAATGCCAGGGGGCGGGAGGGAGAGGAGCAGGCAGAGTCGCAGGACCAGCCAGCAGCTGTTTACCAATCCACTGGCGAAATGGTGTGACCATGAGTCAGCCGTCGGCTGACGCCCTACTCGCCGCCACGCTGGTCCCAGGCAGGCTGTGCTGCCCGGCAAAAGGGGACGAGGAGGGGAGACGCAGGCAGACGACAAAAAATGCGTAAGCGGGAGGCCAAGGCTGTCGGAGCGGGCAGGCAAACGGAAGAGGGGCCAAGCGGAGACAGCAGACACGGAGCAGGAGGCGGCGGCGGCGGTTTGAGTTTGTTGGGAGTCTCGTGGGGGTTTTGGGGGTGCTTGTTGGGAACCCTTGCGGGCGTCTTCGGTGCGGCTGTTGCGTTCGCGTGGCCACTGGCGATGTTGTTAGGGGGCGTCTTCGGGCCTTTCGGGGGGATCTTGGGGTTTCTTGGGGCCCTTTGGAAACTCTTGGAAGCCTCTTGGGGTCTCTTGGGGCCCCCCCGGGGGGCTATCGTGGAATATATTTGGGGCCACTTGGGGGGATCTTGGGAGTGCTTCGAGGGAACGGTTTTGGGGGCCGTCTT